TTGGGGCCTTGATTTCATGAAATAATCTTTAAAGCATGATGTTTTGTGAGTCTCTAAGTGCTTTCCAGAATTTTGGCCTAAGAGGATGAGCTTTGGAGTGTTTGGTTTGAGTTTGAAGCTTGGAGATCAAATCTGGAAATTCTAGAATTTGAATCCACGCTCGAGCGTAGGAGTTCACGCTCGAGCGACATGATACCCGCTCGAGCGTAAAATGCATGTACCCAGAAGTTTATATGTTTTGTAGCACGCTCGAGCGACAGAGGTCACGATCGAGCGAGGGTCTGAGTCTCACGCTCGAGCGTATATCGAGCGTCCGTCGAGTATGAAAAACAAGCAACCAGTACTTTTGTCAAAGTTTACAGTCCGCTCAAGCGAAGGAAGTCACGCTTGAGCGAACCTTCACATTTTGCATGTCCGCTCGAGCGGGGAAAGCCACGCTCGAGCATGGACCCTATTTTCAGCAAGTTTTGAAAAAAAAAAAATATTTAAGTGCATTTCTGCATCCTCATTCCATCCTAGGCATTCCTAGGTCATGATTAAGACACCGTAATGGGATTAAAGGCTAGAAACGCACTAAGAACAAACAAAATGAGTTATGTACAATTCGAGCATGTGTTCAACGTATACATCTGTCATGTTATGTAGATCACGCGCCTCAAGATAAGTGAATTACCTACTCTACTCGTCTATTTGGAGCCACTGGTTATCTGTAAGTAATAACTCTGTAAAATTATGTTTGACTTTAATTATTTTCTGATGATATAAAATGATCAGTTTTCTGAAATACTACGTTTTGTATGAATGAATGAATGTCCAAATTTTTCTTTGAATGTCCAAATTTTTCTTTGAAATGTAATTGTGGTATCCTTGGCAGAGGCCCTCACCCAGGGGACATAATACTGTGGCTTATGGTCATGAGGCCCTATCCCAAGGGATAATATCGTGGCCTAGGCCCTCGCTGGGGGAAAACAATACTGTGGCACAGGCCTTCGCCCGAAGGAAACAATACCGTGGCCTTTATATGAGATATGATACCCGGTACCGAAGGTTTCTTTATGGAACTTGATATGCTTGACCAAAGAGACATGTTTATGCTAATGGATGTACCACACATGATTTGAATATGAATAAAACTATGATTCTATTTCCGCTACTTGATTATGATTCTGATTTACCATGAGATTTGAAATCAGTGCTGGGCGTCATTCATTAAAATTCTTTACTCTGTTATTATTCACTGGGCATTAGCTCACAATTTATATTATGTATGTAGGTGAGCAGGCACGTAACGAGGCCTAGAGTTGACGGCCTATGTTTCGATTTTTATCAGCCAACCTTTGTGCCTCCCGAGGAGGTTCCAATTGAAGTCAAGTTTTGTGGCTGTTTTTGTAGCCGTATTAGACTTTGTTTATTTTGTTAAGTTTTTGGGCAAGATTTCTAATATTATACTTCTAAGAGTGATATGTAAATGTTATATCTTCCAACATCACTCGTATATTTATAAAAGTTTTCAATTATACGTCTTATGTACGTCTTTACAGCTTAATGGACTATGTATATTTTGTATGCTTGCTTCCGTAGCCTGTAACTATATGTTAATCTGTCAAGAGGCCTTTGGTAATCCAATGATTACTGGCCGGTTACGATGCTAAATCCATAAGAGCGGGTTTGGGTCGTGACACAAAACCTCAAAGCATGTAAGTTTCATAACTTTTTTTTTTTTCTCAAAGTCCATATTTTTAGCAAAATTGAGTTTTAAGGCTTCTAACATATACAAAACTCTTTTTCAAAACATGATTTAAGAGATAATATGTGATGATTCAAACATGCATGTGCCAATTATTCATAATTTCCACATGAATGATCAAAATCAAACTTGACATAGCAAAACCCAACATGTTTAGGCATGCAAGTAGAATTCTCTTCTTAATTCTTTCTTAAGACTCCTCAAACATGGAATTTACTTACAAAACTTGATCTAATATGCATGCATGTTAATTTCATGGCCTAAACCCCCCATGAATGACAAAGCTTGTGATCAAAATGATGATTTACTACTCACATATGCACGCATGCATGAATTGCAACTCAAATCTTCATTCTAAGCTCAATATACACATTTAACCTCATAATCTTGATGAAATCTCATGCTAGATGACTTAGATTCACAATTTAGAGATTGCATTCTTACCTAGAGTCATCAAATTCTCTTGTCCTTACACAATCTTGATGAACTTAACACAAAACCTTCAATTCCTCTTCAATCACTTCCTCTCTCTCTCTTTAGAATTGCACACTCTCTCTCTCTCTCGCTCTCTCTCTAAAATGAATCTTAGAATTGGAGAGTTCTCTTTCTTGCAACAATTAAAGCTCTCACCTTCAAGGTATTGTAGTCTTTCTATTTATCACAACAAGTGGCATGCCTGTTTTTAGGCAGGTTTTTATGTGATGATGTAAGATGCAGTTAGACATTAGTAGACTTCATTATATCTTGAGGCTATGTGCTTGGAATCAATTTTCTCAACAATCTAATAAGATTGGTGGGAGGATTTTATCATAAGGCGGCAATGTAGTGCGTCATGACGTTATTGAAATTGCTTTCTTTCTTTCTCCCCCCCCATTTTTTTAAAATATTCATATTTTTTTATATATATATTTACTTCTTCACTCCATTGTTTTAGCATACTAAAGCCTTTGGTTGATGCTCAGATGAGGACATAATAACTAAACTGGAAATATGGTTAGTACTATGTTGCTTGGAATGTAGATTGGTTCAATACAAGGAACGTCAATTGGAACATGTTGCACATGCTCTTAAATGTGGTACGTTTAGGGTTGGCTTGGATAGATCACACTATTAGAAGACAAATTTCTAGGAGTATTGTGGCCCTTTTTCTTCATTTTATTTGGCCAAAACCCTACTCTGAATTTAAGTCATTATATTTGATTTTTTCCTTGTAAAGAAAACGTTCAGGAAATAACTAGGAAATTTTTTTGGATTGCTTTGGATTGGTAAATTTGTCACATGCAAGCTCATCATGACTAACCTTATGTAACTGGATAAACCTGTATGGTTCTTCCCCTAATTTTATTTGAATGTTTTTAATGATTTTGACATTTTTTATTTTATTTTAAATATAAAGTTCCCGGTTCCTATTATAATAAACTTTCCTTTTATAATACACACTAGAGTGCATTTTCCTCTAATGGTTATGTAATCATCTAATTATCTTGTGTTATTTGTGTCGTTATTGTTATGTTCAATCGAGGTTGCCTCATGTCATTTTGCGTCATGTTATAATGCTCATCCACCTTGACTTGGCCAAATTGAAAACCACCAGTTCTTTTGTGGAATTGGGAGTGCCCTTGCTTGACATCTTATCCATGCAAAGCCACTAAGTTAATAGTGATGTTTAAAATATTCTCCAGCAAGCTTGCATTCCAAACCTGTACCTGCTCCAAATCCAATTTAACTCACCTTGTCCCATTCCCAAGCATACCCCACTTGACCTTGTCGCCTTTCTATCTTAATAGGGTAGGGCAGTTCAGGTCTGCCAGTTGATGCTTTCCTTGCCCTCTTTTGCATCTATATCTCTCTACATTTCTTGGAATTTAATGCCACATTTTTCTCATGTTGCTTCAAATTTAATTATTGCTCTTATATATATATATTATATATATATATATATTCATTCCAACCATTTACATTATTCTATATAATTGTTGAGTGCAAGCACATACTAGCTTCCTTTTTGTTAATTTCCGTGCCTGTTTACTACAACACAAATATCGTTTTTGAATTCCTACAATCATCAAATTGTGTCCCGTTCCATTGATTATTGTGCGTGGACTAAGTAGTTGACTTATATTATTAGATTGAATAAGTCAATATTGGCTTCATATATTATGCATGTGCATAACACATTACTGCTCTGTATATCGCTATCTAATAATTAAATTTTTTGCACATATGTTTATATATTTGATTTACTTCTATGTTTGTTTGTATTTTTATATATTTTGAGGTTAATGTTTATCATAAGGTCAAAAGCATTGATACAGTGCATGATGTAGGAAGTCCCACACAGTTGCAAACATTTTGAGAAGTATTTTTAAGTTTGGAAAGCAGTTTCAGTGTGATTTGTACATTCACAGCTGCTCTGTATATCACTAGCTAATCATTAAATTTTTTTTTGCACATATGTTTATATATTTTGATTTACTTTTATGTTTGTTTCTATTCTTATATATTTTGGCGTTGACATGTATCATAAGATCAAAAGCATTGACACAGTAAATGATATAGAAAGTATCCAGAGTCGCAAACATTTTGAGAAGTATTTTGAGTTTGGAAGTATGAGTATTAGTGTAATTTGTACATTAACGGACTACTGTATCTTTTTTTTCTGTTGGTATTTTATATTGTAGATCCTTGTTAGCATTTTGAATCCACATCTTAACCAAACCTAATGTTTCCTTTCTTACAAGAGTGGGCTGATTGAATCATATTGGATGTTTGACTTTTTGTAACTGTTTATCCACCATAGAATTTGTAGAAATTTAATGTATAAAGACAAATGATTGTATTATTGATTGATATATTGATATGATGTTTCTGTCTATTACAAATGGAAAAAAAATGTTAGTGTTGAGAAAGCTTTAGAGTTCAGAATATTTTTATCCTGATGCTAACTGTTTATCTTATGTTTTATTTTATTTTCTTTCTTTTTCTTTTGATTCAAAACTCTCCATTGCCCTTATGGTTTTTTTAATTGTTTCTGTGGTACTCTGTCAATTATATCCAAAATGTGTTTTAACAGATCTGCCAATCCCAGTTTGGTCTTTGTATATATATATATATATTGACATACGAGGACCCACACAGAGTGAACAAGTATGGAATCACATTTGTATGCACATACAAATGTGTAACCGCAACTTTGAGTGGGCTGATTGAATCATATTGGATGTTTGACTTTTTGTAACTGTTTATCCACCATAGAATTTATCAGAAAGTGGGACATTGCAGGAGTTCATTTATTTTTATTTTTAAAATTTGATGGAAAAAAAATGTTAGTGTTGAGAAAGCTTTAGAGTTCAGAATATTTTTATCCTGATGCTAACTGTTTATCTTATGTTTTATTTTATTTTCTTTCTTTTTCTTTTGATTCAAAACTCTCCATTGCCCTTATGGTTTTTTTAATTGTTTCTGTGGTACTCTGTCAATTATATCCAAAATGTGTTTTAACAGATTTGCCAATCCCAGTTTGGTCTTTGTATATATATATATATTGACATACGAGGACCCACACAGAGTGAACAAGTATGGAATCGCATTTGTATGCACATACAAATGTGTAACCGCAACTTTATGTATTTTTACTTTTTTCTGTCCCCGCCCTCTCCCAAACTAGAATCAGTTTGCTTTATATCTTTATCTATTCATCATTTGCTTCTTTTTGGGAGGCTTGATTTTGCTAGAGATGGATTGTATGCACATACAGATCTATTCATCTATTTATCATTTACTTCTTGTGAATATAATTAAATTAACAATGTTTCTTTTTTCATTTGAAAATATTCTTCTTATTCATTTATGATGTCCCAGGTACCTCAAATTGGGCCTTTTGAAGAAGAAACGGTTCAGCTGCAGTGTCCAGTACCTGAACCACAATCTCCAGCAAACTCAAAGATCAGAGTTCGGTTTCAGTTTTGGAAGCCCCATTTGTGGAAGATGTAAACGTAATATCACTTGGTTCAGAATGCTTTGGGAGAGTCAATGTTGATCTTCACGGTAACCCAAACAAAAACTTTTTATTCATTTACTTCACGGTAGCCCAAACAAAATTTTTTTATTCATTTACTAGTGCGTCAGAACTGTTGGAATTGTGGTCATTGCATCTAATTTGTTCTGTAGGTTGTGTTGGCTAGGCCCATGCACAAAAGCCATTATGTTAACAAATGATGACAAAAAATTAATTGCAATATTGGGACATCATACAGTTATACACATGCTATAGGTGCAATGGGTTAGCATTTATCTTATACAGTTTATGAATTGATACCCTACTGACTTTTAATTAGTATAGTGTGAGCAACTTAGAATCTAGCCCAGAATGGTATGATTCACCAGCTTTATACCATTTGTCTTGGATTAGAGTACATGAATCTTCGTAAGCTAAGTCAATTTTTGATCTCACCTTTTTTTGGCTTTTAATAAGCATAGATCAAGCCCATTCCATATACTACATCGGTCATTCTACGATAAATTCCATATACTACATCAGTCATTGTATGATACACTACAGTTTAAGTACTCTGCTTTAATTTCTCTTTATGTTCTTTGTTACTGGTAGGTTTTCGAATGCAGCTTAAGCTACTGAAGATGGAGTTTGGAGCAAATGCAGATGGACTAATGCTTACAGCAAGTGACAAAGATGTTGGCCAAGGATTTGTCTCGGTCTCGGAGGACAATGAAATATTTAATGATGAGAGTTGGGAATCTTTCCATCTAATTGATGTGCTAATCGACTCTGGATATGATGATGTTGACCCTGACACTTTCGTGTCAACATGGTACTCTCTCGATTGTTCTATGGACCCTTGTTTATTTGACAACGTTGGGAAGAAGTATTCCAAGAAGTACTATTTGAATCCAATTAGTTGGCCATCGTTGTACTTTATTGGTTGATTGGAGTTGTTGCAATAGACTAAAAATTTGTTATGGTGTTCTCCTGTATCTCATTCTTTTATGTTTAGATTTTGTAAGGTAATTTTTTTTTTTTTTTTTTTTTTTGGGGGGGAGGTTAAACAAAAAAGGTCAACAAAAATTTATTTAATATTGCATTCACTTCTCTAACTTTTTCTTCATTTCCTTCCACAAATTCAAAATATAAAATTAACAAACATTAATGGCTTATAGATTTACCCAAAAAAGCAACTAATCTTAACAAATTGCATTTCACTAACCAAGAAAACACACCATTTTTTACATTGGAACAGTTCATTTGCCTTGTCTCCACATTTAAAGAGCAAATATAGTTATAAAAAATTTAAACCTTATTATGAGCACACAAGATTTGTGTGATTAACTAGTTCATGTGAATTAGACCTCAGTTAGTTTGACTAATTAATCCCAAATTATTCAGTGTTTTATGATCAATGTAAGTCTTAATTTTGTCAAGTTAAAAGAAGTCACGATATGAAATATGAACTTCTCAAGAACTATTTAAAATACCATAAGGATGGACAAGCATGAGAGAGTATGGCCAAGAAATGGTTTCATAAAAATAAAAATAGAGGAAAGTTTTTGATATACAAATAAAAATTTGTGCAAAATAATGTCATAGATTTGAATTCGTTCATTTCAAAAAAAGAAAAAGAAAAAGGAAGATCAATATTAAACTGATTTATTATTTTAAAAATTTCGTTGACATGGAAAAAATGCATCAATATATGATAATGACATTTTTAAAATAGTAAGTTAGGTCTTTTGGTTTTAAATCATTGATACAAATTTGCATGACATTTTTAAAATAATAAGCTAGGTTTTATAGTTTAAAATGAATTGATATAAATCTCCAAAATCATATTCTTTATAAGTGATTTTTTGTTTTTTGTTTTTTTTTTTTGGTATACTCCTTATGTTTATATATTTGTCTAATATACAAAAAATATAGGATATCAAACAAACAACATAGTAAAATCAATAATGGATTCAAAATTTATTGATTCAGTTCCACCCATGAGCTAGTTGGTATTTTAGCTAAAAATGAAAGGATAAAAAACTAATACATCAATATAATTTTTTTTTAAGACCCATTTTTATATCCGAAAATGGAATTAGAATTGACTAGATACATAGTCTAATCACATGATTTTATATCCCAAACCAACACAATAAAATAGAATTGTAGCTAATTGAAGACTATTATCACTATGTTTGGTGTAGATTTTAACATGTTGAAACTGTATAATAAAAAAATATAAATTAAAATCACTTTTTTGTTTTTTTTGTTTTGCTTTTCAAAAATTATATATTTTTCATTTTATTCAAGTTATTTTTTTTCTTATGAAATGTAAGCAAAAGTGACACCAAAATTCTTGCAGAAATTAAAAAAGAAAAGAAAATTATACTAAGTAGCTCATAAATTGCACCAACTCGTTCCAATATGAGATTCCAATTAGCAATGGGTTGATGATGGCGTCTTTAGTTGTACGTCTTATTTCTATCAATAAAATCATGTTCTTTTATTTGACAAAAATAAAAAATAAAGTCAGTAGTTGTCAACAATATTAGGAAAATTTAGCCAAAATTCTCTATGCCTGACATGTTACTGTGTAAAGGACAATTTAAACTATTTTATTTCTTAAACCTCATGAACAAGAAGCGTGTTCTTCATAAAAGACAAATTAATATTTTATTTTTCATCTTTTTTCTAGACAATTTTACCTTGAATATATTGTAGCTCGACTTTTTCGCGCCCCTTTTTTGGAAGTTCGAAATAAGCCCTACAGTTCGAACTCTCGTGGTTTTGAATCTAATTTCACAAGTATAATGTGAAATTGATAAACACTAAAGAGTCCAAATCCGACGAATCTTTTGGAAAATCGATTTTGAATCAAAAAGGCCAAAAAATGGACTGATTTGCCAGATACAGAGTCGCCACCTAAATATTTTATTTTGAAAAAATATAAGAAACCCATGACTCATGCCAAAAGCCACGTGTCTGTCATCACCAAAGTTACCTCGACTCAGAAACTTGGATACGAGATGGGAAGGTCACGAATACATTTGAGCACCCCTGCTTGCCCGATCAAAAGATCGGCATCTACTAATCATAATATGATTTTTATCAACAGTATATGCTCTTGTGCCGATTTATTGGGCTAGCATTACTATGTGATGCGCACATCCAAGTATAGACTAACTTTGCTCAAATTGGAACAATTCAATTTCATGTTGTTTTTCGAAAATGGTTTGAATTTGCCACTTGACAAATGGCTTAAAGCATACATTCCTTGAATTATTCCAATTCAAACAACAAGCCTTCATCCACGGCATATAAACAGTTTATCACTTTAAACAATTAGCCTCATGGCAAGCATACTAGTCATGGCAACAATCATACACATGCGATATGCTAAAGTATTAAAACTCACCTAGTACTCCAAGCCAAAAAAGAAATAAGTTAGAAAAATGCATGATTCCTAACTATGCGATTATGACTAATGCAACACATGCGAGATGAAATTAATAGGCTCGGCTACTAATATGACATATGAGTCAATTTGATAACATGCAGTCTAAGCACGTATTCAAAGAAGTATTTAAACGACAATGCAGTTAGAATGATGAACCGAGCCTCGGTGCATGCAAGACAAATGAATGGATGCAAGCATGCGGTATGCTAATTGAAAAATGATGCCCCTAATCTAACCATCATAAGTTAGCAAATAAAAGGGAGAAAGATGTGGGGTTGGAAAGCATACATGTTATTACAGCATTATGCTCTTGCGAAGGAGAGTCCGAATGAATAAATTAGTTAAGCTAAACTACTTAACTAATTATTACAAAAACTTGAAATAAATTAACTAACTATTCTAAGTTAGTTGATTATAAAGCAAAACTAATTGAACTAGTTAACTAATTAACCAACCTAATTGATTAAATAATTACAACATTTAACTAATTAGCTACAACTAATTAATTACAACAAATAAAAGACTAATTGCTAATTAAACTAATTAACTACTCCCGGGAAGCGAGGGAGGCTCATGCATGCTCGGTTTCCACCCGAAGAACATCCACTATCTGCCTCTGCAAACCTCTATTGCACAGCACTTACACTGATTTTCTTCTCCAGATCAACTCTGCTCTGCTTCAGAAGCACACTGCTCAAATTTCATTGGTGGCCGGTAGGCCAGAAGTGGTGGTCAGCCGGCCACCATTGGGGGGTTGCCGTCCAACACTGATGGCTTGTCGGCCAGTAACATTGGCCGGCCGGCCACTGATGATATACTATTCCTTGTTGCAGTAGAGAGCAAACATGGCAAAGACAGGGTATTCTCACAGATTGTTTGTACTGTATATCCCTCCTTATCATCAAAACGTCTCAAAGGAGTGATACACTTAGTTCTCAAAACATCAATCAAGCAATTTTATTACATGATGGCTAAGGAACCAAGATGTACAAGTTTAATAAATGTAAAAATAAGGCCAACAACCATCACCCTATCATGTAAGATCAAGGGCAATGGAGACCTTAGAAAATTGGCACATTTCATCACTTTGAGTATGAAATGCCCCAATTTTTCTTGTGTTCAATTAACGTCCGATTAAACACATAAAAACACAACCAAATCTTTGCACAATTTTAGTTTCCTTTTTTTATTTACTCATTTTAATTTAACATTCCATTCTTTAACCAATTAAGTCCATTGGTGAGAAGTCTTCTTAAGAGAAGGAAGTGTCAAATAAGGGGTAGTTTAAGGTAAGAAAGAGATGTCATGTTGTTGATAATGAACCCCCAAAAGAGGATTAAACCATTAGGCATGGATCTTAATCTCAAGCTTAAACTATCCTCAGTTTGAAACAACTCTCAAAGCAAATGAAAAGTCAAGAAATGAGGGAGATTGCAGAGATTAATAGTGCTGAAATTAGGTGAGAAAACCACTAAAACATGGCAATCAACTCAAACAAGTGGTGTCTAAAGGCCTAAAACATCAAGCTTGTGAGGATACTTACACTAGAGGCATGCAAAACTAGATTCAAATGCAACAACCAACCCAAAATAGAGTTAAAGCAATCCAAAATGAAGCCTAAAACATGCTGAAATTAAGCTACAAAGGCCTAGAAAAATAAGCTAACACATAGAGCTAACTAGGCTAGCAAACAAGACACAAGGAGGGGAGGTTAACCCCTCCAATTTTGGACTTCAAAACATGATTTTCACCACTGAAATTACTTTGAAATTCAGTGTTTAAAGGCCCAAAAAAGATGGTTTGAAAGTGGGAAACAAAAGTGGAAAAGTTTTTCCAATAAGGAATAAAGAAGGGTGAATCACCCCCTTACCTTAAATGGCCTAAAACACCAATTTCAACACATAAAAACAAAGTTTTTATAGCCCAAAAACAACCCAAAAACAGTGGGAAAAATATAGAAAAACAAGTGTTCAAAACAAGGTAAAAGGGGAAATATTATACCTCTTGAAGTAAAGAACAATTTTAGGTAACAATTCAAGCCAAAACCACCTTCAAGAGCTCCAAGAAGGCCTCAAGTAGCCTCAACTCAAAGATGATCAACTTTGGTTAAGGAGATGTAGGCAAAAGAGTGGTGTATGTAGGCTAATGTGCACAAATTTGCAAGAGAGAGAGAGACAGAAAGAGAGATTTTTGTTCCAAAATCTCTAACCCTTAAAAATGGGGGAGGAGACCCCATATATATAGAAAAACATGCATTTGGTTGAGATAAAAAATCCCTCCATACATGTGTAGGGAGATGAAGCCCATTGTGCCAACAACTGGAACAGCTGTCAACAAAATATCTACAAAAAGGACATTGGTAGCCAGCAGGCCACTAATGATGGCCAGCAGGCCACACCATTGGCCGGCAAGGCACAATGGTGGCCATTAGCCCACCAGAGGTGGCCTGTAGGTCCCAGGGTCTTGAGGTTTGAAGCAATAAGGTTTGGGTCCAAAATAGGGCACAGAACGGATAGCATTTGAAGGCTCAAAGAT